TGGTGGTGGTGGTGGTGGTGGTGGTGGTGGTGGTGGTGGTGGTGGTGTTGGTGTTGTTGTTGTTGCTGTTTTAGTCTGGTTTTGTGGTTACTATGACTATTAATTGGTGTAGCCTTTGTGTTTCGGTGCAGTGACACAAGCAAACTCTGCTGTGCATGTTGTGGTAGACTCTAGCAAGTCTCCATGCTGGTAACATTCCATTTCACTGCAGGTGGACCAAAGTTTGTCGACTTTATCGTTCTGCACGGCACGCTTTCTCAAGTTTACATATTTTATCACCTGATTTCCTGAAAAATCCCAAAGCCAACTCTATCAAAGACAATCAATCAATCACAAGCATATCAGAAACGTCTATAGAGTCTAGCTTTGTCAGGTCTCAGTTACATCTTCGAGAGATGCAACGGTACATGGATCCTGGTGCGACGTTCGCGTCGCGCGGTGCAGGGTCCCACCTCGCTGGTGCCAATAGCTGGCAGCGCTCAGCATCTGCTCGGCATAGGCTGCGCAGTCCTGAGGCCAGCGAAACCCGCTCAGGGCCCGAAGGGTCGAGTCGGAGGACCCCTGTGGCCAAACGGTATCAATTCACCGTCAAAATGGACGTAAGATGATGCAAGATGATGTAAGCACTCCACAGCCGCCGCAAAAAACATGTTTTTTCCATCACGCCAACTCTTCGACTTCTGAGCACATCTGGCTCAGCTGCACTGGTTGCTCACAGCGTTGCTGCCTGTGCACAGGCTGTCTTTCATCGTGAGCAAGGAGTCCAAGTAGTCCTTCCACGCCTTGGTGGTACCGTCTGATTCAATGTCGAAGTCACAGCATGCTGCATCCTTGACGCAACTCGTGTACGTCTGCCATGTCTTGCAAACTGCATCTGTCCCTGCGGAAATCGTTGGATCACTATTGTACGTCTGAGCACAGCTGGTCAAAGCATCTTGATTGCACCCACCACAGCCCATCAACGTGAAAGAGGTCGCCATGATCACCGCACCCGCAATGACTCGCAGCATGGTGACCGTTGAAAACAGGTCTTCCAGCAAAGGACTGTAGCTCGTACCAAAGTGCTTCTGCGGTGACAAGCAACATGCAAATATCTGCGCATTTCTTGCTACTGCTGGCATGACTTCCGAGTTGCTCCAAACCCTTCTATGAGCCATGCAAGCTTGATTACTTTTAGAAGGGAAATGCAAGGACTCTAGCGTTGAACCGTCTGAAGAAGCCGTTTGGTCCAGGAAACGAAATCCAGTTTGGAGCTGACCAGGCTGAAATGAATGTCGTTTCCTGTCCCGGTCCCATCGGTCTTCTGTCGCTCCCGTCCCCCGAACCGGGTCCCTCCTCCGCTGCTGCTCCAAGCGTTCCGCCAACGAGCCACTGGCACAAAGCTCCGTGACGAGGTAAGCACAACCTGGGGGCCATGGGTGAAATGCACGGTGATGGTCGGAAAGAAAGAAATTCATCTGCCACGAAGTGCCACGTGCTTCGTGCTTCCAGGGGCTGTGCAATCTGAATTTGTGTGTATACTGTTTACTTTTGTTTGGTATGACTGGCTAGACTTAGACCTTCTCACTGTACGTGAAAAAACAAAAAGAACACCAAAACAATCTAGTAAACGCAAAAAGAACACAAAAACGCAAAAGAACAACAGCATGCAGCAACAACTGCAAGAACAAACAACAGTAGAACCAACCGACCGCCCCCCATCTGTCTGTAGGAGTAAAATCAGTTGCTTCGAAGCGGTACTGTATTGCTTCCTCCATCATTATCTCATGATTCCAATGTAATCATTCAATATCTGATCTGTTTCCAACCAGGTGATCCACTGCGTCAAGACTTCTTCAAGAGGATCGCTCCGCCAGTCCACACCCAGCCCTTCCAGGCTTGCATGCAAACTAAGTTGTGTGTCATTGTGTGTCTATGCTTGTTGGTGGCCCTGTCATGAGTAAGCTTGCAGCTGGAAACTCATCGAGAACTCATCCGAAGATCGAAGCCCAAAAAACAAATCCGTGAACTCATCGAAGATCCAAACACTCACTTCTGTGGTTTAGAGCTGAGAGGGCCGGCCTGTGCCACACCCACCGGCCCAGGGCCTCCCGACGATCGCCGTCGCGGAAAGCTTCGAAAAGGCGGAGCAAGTTCAAGTGGTCCAAGCCTCTCGGGGCACCAGGGTGAGAAAGGAACACCTGGAAGGGAAGCCGTTTTCTGAAGGTGAACATACCCCTTAAATGCATGTGATGTTATGATGCATGTTAGGGCTTGGAGATGCTTGGAAACACCCTGGCAGAAATTCATACTTTCGGAGTGGTACAGGAACCATACTGCCAGCATGACAACCTTTTTGTTTTCCAACACCCTCATGTCGAGCAACACGGACTGAACATGCAAAGAAACAAGTAGAATTCGAACCATGTGCTTCTTCTCCACGTGGTTGCTGAAGCCTTGCCTGAACGCTGTTCAAACGGTCAATGTCTCAATTCATCGATACATGCGTATACTGCAGACATAGAAACAGTATCCCACCATGGATGTAAAAAATAGAAGCTATGTTCCACCGCAAGATCCACATTCATCCAAAGGTGCTCCCCACAGCAATGTGTCTGCACGACCAGCCACGCTCGCCGCTTCCGAAGAGCTCATTTTGTAGCCTGGAGGACAGGAAGGCAAGGAGGGATTTTGGGGTGCACCTTCAAAACCAATGGGTTAGAAAGAATTCTATATAAATCAATCATGGAACTGAGAGAAACAATGCAAAATATTGGCAGCTCCGAAGCCACTCAGTTCGGCTCAGTTGAATAAAATCTTTGCCAAACGATCCAAAACGTGGCGCAATGCGCCATGGCCGGTCAGTGACTGGTGCTTTTGGGATGTTTTGGGTGGTGAGTCTAGGATTTCATATGAAAAACTCCACCATGGATCGCTTGGCTTTGCCACGCTTTGCCATGCAACACAAGCCCATCGAACACCTGCGCAGCCGCTGTTGCTTCGCCGGAGTCGCTGCGTCCCTGGAGTCGCGTCGCTTCGCCGGCCGGCTTCGGCCACGCCGCGCAGGTGA